GCAGTTTTTACATCCATTTGATGGATTTCCAAACCCTTCAATGCAGCTATTGCCAATAGCATTCAAATTGAAGTTATTCTTGTAACTGGTGAATAAACATCAAAGTAATCAAACTCCCCTTTTTGGTTGTATCGTTTAGCAACCAATCGAGCTTTGTATTTCTCAATTGTTCCATCAGTTCTTCTTTTCTTTTTGAAGATCCATTTACATCCTAGAGGTTTAGATCCAGGAGGCAAATCTATCACTTTCCAAACGTGGTTAGACATGATGGAGTTAATTTCAATTTTGATAGCCTCTTGCCATTGTGCAGTGTCTGGTGAAGACATGGCTTCCTTATAAGTTTGAGGCTCATTATTTAATAGGTACACAACAAAATCGGGTCCAAAATTCTTAGATTTTCTAGCCCTTTTGCTGCGTCCCATTTCACATTCTTCCGCCACTTCATTATTATCATTTATAGAATCAAAAGATCTCTTATGTGAATTGGTTTCTTCAACATGGGTTGGAATGAAAACATCCATGTCGGAGGAGACAACTTCACAATCTCCCTTAAAAGGGAATACATTCTCAAAGAATGTAGCATCTCTAGATTTTATAAAAGTATTGTCCACTACATCCTCATTATATGATTTGTGGACAAGGAAACGATATGCACTACTATTTTGTGCATATCCAACAAAGACACAATCAATGGTCTTTGGTCCAATCTTAGTTCTTTTAGGTTTAGGAATAGCTACTTTCGCCAGACATCCCCACACCCTCAAGTAAGTGAAACTTGGTTTTTTCCCTTTCCATAACTCATATGGAATCTTGTGTGTTTTCTTGTGGGGCATTCTATTTAGAATGTAGCTGGCGGCTAAGACAGCATCCCCCCACAAGTTGTTCGGAGCACGAGAGCTAACTAACATGGCATTAACCATGTCCTTTAACGTTCTATTTTTCCTCTCGGCGATTCCATTAGATTGAGGTGTATAAGGAGGAGTAATTTGATGAATTATTCCACTTTCCGAGCAGATTGGCTTAAAAGGATATTCATATTTACCACCCCTATCACTCCTTAACACTTTAATCTTCCTCCCAAGTTGTTTTTCAACTTCAGCTTTATAATGCTTAAAAGCATTAACAGCTTCATCTTTGCTATGTAGCAAATACAGATAGCAATATCTTGTGCTAACATCAATGAAGGTAATGAAATACCTTCCCCCCCTCTACTTTCTTCATACTTGAGATCACAAAGATCTGTGTGTATGAGATCTAGTGGTTCAGTTTCTCTAGTAATAGAGTGAAAAGGTTTTCTAGCCATTTTTGCTTCAACACAAATTTCACACTTGTGATTAGGATCAATATGACATTTAGGAAGCAATTCTAAATGCATTAATCTACGCAAAGTATCATAATTGACATGTCCTAATCTAGCGTGCCAAATAGAAGAAGACTCAACCAAGTAAGAAGAACCCACTTTATTATTATCAACAAGTTTGGGTACAACGGTAAGTACATTCATTTTGAAGAGACCATCATTGAGATAGCCCTTCCCTACAAACACATCATTCTTTGTAAGTACAAATTTATCAGCCACAAAGACAAGCTTGAAACCATTTTTGCTAAGGAGGGAGCCCGAAACCAGATTCTTGCGTATGTCAGGGACATGTAGCACATCGTTCAAAGTTAGAGTTTTCCCACTCGTCATTTTGAGGACAACTTTGCCGCGACCTTCTGCTTTGGATGTAGAAGAGTTACCCATAAATAGTTGTTCCTCGTTATCAACAGGTCGATAATCGGTGAACATCCACTTCTTAGCACAAATATGTCGGGTAGCTCCAGTGTCAATGCACCATTCTTTAGTGTTTCCCACTAAATTGCATTGAGATATCACGACACATAGGTTCATTTCACCCATGTCATTAGAGAGGTCGTCCACAATATTGATTTGTCCGGTCTTCTTTTTCTTAGGAGCACGACAGTCCTTAGCACGGTGACCGGGCTTGCCACAATTATAGCACTTTCCTTTGAACTTCTTTGACGAAGGTTTCCCTCCACTTGTTCCTTCGTCATTGTGCTTTCTCTTCTTCCCTTTCTTGGATCCCGCTTCCACCATGTTCGCTTTAGCTTCCATGGAATTAGATCGTCCAGCCTTATGCTCGGATTTGCGGTTATCCTCCTCTATCCTTAAACGAACAATGAGCTCCTCTAGGGACATTTCCTTACCCTTATGCTTCAGATAATTCTTGAAGTCTTTCCACTTGGGAGGTAATTTTTCAATTATTATCACCGCCACTTGGAAAGACTCGCTAAGGGACACACCCTCAGCGTGAATTTCATGAAGAATAAGTTGGAATTCTTCTACTTCAGAAACAACCGATTTGTGATCAACCATTTTAAAGTCTAAGAAATGTCCGACGATAAATTTCTTTTTGCCGGCATCCTCAATCATTGCGTGTATATCATCGAGAACCTCTTCAGGAATTCGGAAGATACTCATCATGTAAGTCGGGATTGCTTGAACAATGGATTTGATTAGCATTTCTTTTCCCGGTCGAGAGAGAAGCATTTCCTTCCATCCTTCTTGGATCTTCTTCCAGATTCTTTTATTTAGCTGGGAAAATACACTTTTCTTTTTCCGACCTATAATAGTCGGAAGGCCAAGATACTTCTCATGTTTCTCCACTTCATCCACTTGTAGTAGCTCCTTAATGCTATTTCTCTTTTCACGGTAAACATTATATAAATACAACGTTACCTAACATTTATTTGCTCTTCTAACAAGCATTTATTTGCTAATACTAATATAAATACGTTAATCTTATTGAAGAAGCTTATATTTTAGGCAAACTTATCATGTTAACTCCCAAAGTTAGTAAAATGGACCAAATTCTTCCAATGTTGACTATTAGAATGTTTTTACTTTGGACTGCAATTTGCTGGTTTGGTCTGGTAATGTCTAGTTTCTTTGTATTCTTATAACTATCCAAGTCTGGTCTGTTCTAGTCTGGTCCGATCTGGTTTGGTGTGGCTTGGGACAGATTACAGTCCAAGTAAAAACATCCTTAGTATTCTACATTATACTACGGAGTATGTATTAAGGAATGGAACTTGTCTTATAGAAACTGAAATTGTAAATGCATCAAAGTAATGAGTTGTGCATCTTTGACCAATCTAAATTTGAAGGTAAAGAATCCCAGAAGTCTAGAACTAATGGTGTTCATAAAATTATTCTCAATGCGGAGCATCTTGGTATTGGACTGAACATCCCAGATCTACTCCCAAGATAAGTATACGTAACGCTTGTCGAACCACCCCAAGGTATATAGGTATCGAGTAGGGCGTTCATGCGCCCCGATGGCTTGAACCCGACAGCTTCTCAACGCAGGTACGACCGATCTCAAATTCGAGGCGCTCGTTAAGCAATCGCACATAGATGAAGCTTTTTTCTTACTAGCTTGTGACTCGCGAGCCATACATGTTTATAAATAACTGAGAAAAGGGGCAAATAAGCTCACATACTAACCAAAAAGATCAAATAAGCCCTTATATAGGAGGCTCTGTCCGGCCGTCGTCATTTGGGTCTGTTCCCAGTGGAATTTTTTATGAATTTTTTGAGCATCTTATCCATTGAGTCTAGTTTACTCGTACCAAAGTTTAGCTAAAACTTCAATCGGGAAGACATTCAAATGAATTTTTGAAGATAATTGCGCAGTTAAAAACACAGTTATGTTCAAGAATTCATTTGAATGCCTTCTCGGTTGAATTGTTAGCTGAAATTTGGTATGAGTAAACTAAACTTAATTAATAAGATGTTCAAAAAAATTCATCAAAAAATGTCATCGGGAACCGCCCCAAACGGCGACGGCCGGACAAAACCTCCTATATAAGGGCTTATTTGACCTTTTTTTTTTGTTAGTACGTGAACTTATTTGCCCATTTTCCCTAAATAACTATATGCTTACGTGCATGCATACACACATGTAACGAGTAAAACACTATTGAACAACAAACAAGGTGGTTGCTTTCTTGTGTGTTCAACTCTTAGATACCTCGAGTGGGAGGTTATTTTAAAGTTTAAACACAAGATAGTGAAAATTTTACAAATTGAATTACCTCTTACATGCCTGTGAGACTGACCATCGTTTACGAACTAAATTTGTAGGAATGACATCCATGAGCTCATTCTATATTATTTAACAGATTTCAAACTAACTGTATTCTAGTAGGAGTAGTAGCATAAAATCTTTCTCCGCCAAATCTTAATATGGATTGAATTAGTTAAACTTTCACCCCTTCTAGGATATGTTATTATATTGTTTTAGCCTTTAGGGCGCAAATATTAATGATTTTGAAAAGAAAAAATCAATCGCTAATTCAGTTACGAACTTTTTTTTAACTTCATTCATTAAATTAATCAATTATGAAATCAAGTAATAATTATTTAATTAGATACGAAATTACCACATCACTCAAAATGTATATGAAGAATGCAACGACATTGTTTATACAAATTCATCAAATAGCTTCAAAACTCATCAAAACCAGCCAGAACGGACAACACTATAATTGGACCTAAACTGGAACAGTTTTAACCAATTTCAGTTAATTTAAGACGGAAACCAGCCAGTCCGAAACCAGACCATGTCATGTTTTTTTTTATAAAAGGACCATGTCATGTTCGTATAGAAGTTTCAAACTTTTGATGTTCATGATGAGTTGAAAAATGCATGATGTTCATATGTATACTTGTATTGTGTTGCATTTTGTATTTCGCAATTGTTTCGATGTCATAAATTACCATAACAAAAGCCTAGATTATTACTACTAAATTTTGAAGAAAAAAAAGTGTCAGATCACAAGACCTATATTATTCATTAGCTATCAAACATTATAGCAAAAAAAAAACAGAACAGTTCATCTCAGGAAAAAAGGACTTCAGGGTTGTGATCTGTAGACATCACTGCCGGTAATTGTAGCAGTCATTGGATGAAACCTGACACTGAAAGAGTATGGTACAGGAGGAAGAAGATACTGATCATGAACACAAGGTGACCAACTATCATCCCCTCCCAATCCCATGTGCTTGTGGTCCAGGTGCACCTGCAACAAGATAATATACCGTTACCAACCCATTCAAAATCCAAAACTAACTTGAGCCGAGGACCATACTCGTTGCTAACGGAGGTCAATCCAGGACTCAACAGGTCCAAGTTCAGGACCTAAACCTTGTTTCAATGCATAAAACTTCGACTATAAAATGGGTTGTATAGATGATTTGTGTTTCCGGTTAGACCCCTAATCTAAATTTTGGAGAGCCCCTGGCTAGCACCAATGCCATTATACCTAAGTCAAGTCTAAGCATTAGGCTCCTAGTATGGCATCTGCCTAGAACCTATGCTATTTATATTAGGCTCGGTTTTATAGCAAGTTCTAGCTTATTCTACCTATAAACAAAACAATTAGAATAAGTAGCTTTTGATTTACTTTATTCTGACTAATATGGATATTTGATGTGTTTGTGTTTGGTTATACATTTGAGGATTGATTTATTAAAAGTTGAAAACAAGTGATCATTAATGGGTGATATACCAGTATTACAATAAAATTAGAAAAGCAGTTTTAAGCACTTCTACTCTTGCTTTCAACTTCAAAGTGCTTAATTAGCAACAACGTAAAATACTGTAATGCTGTTTTTAGTTTTTTAGAAGGGGAAAACTTGTGCTTTCCAAAAAGAAATGGAAAAACTCCTACCATCAAACACTTCACGAAAATTCAGCGGTTTCAACCAAATAATTAACCAAATAGCCCTTAAAATTAGATCGAGTGGTGGTGGGTGTACCTCAATACTATCACTTTCAACAAGATCCTCGTGACGAGTAGCACGGTCAAGTTCAGATGTGGTGTAGTAACTAGCACTCATCTGCATAGGAGGACACCCCTCATAAACTGAAGCATAGATCCCAACACCATCCTTGCCTTGAAAGGTTACCCATCTAACATCCGACCTGCCGGAACATTCACCAGGAACAATATAAGGGACATGCATATCTCCAACTTTTTGTTCATAAATCCCCACATGGGCAGCAGCTTTCCGGTCTGGGTAACATTCAAACGGTCCACATCCGTACCAGGTAATCTGGTCTAAAGATTTCTCCAATTGGAACTCAATCCCGACGCGTGGCAGAGGTGGAAGATCAGACCTTGGCTCTACGTTGCATTCCAGAATAACATCTCCAGAACCATATATTGAGTACAGCATGTGAACCCTAAATGAAGGACTTGATGCAGAAAGAGCATTTGAATCATTGGTTGGAATGCCAGTGTATGCGATTCTAATTTTCACCACGTGTCCGGTTTCACTTTCAACTGTGAAATTATCAACGAGAAATTTCAGATCTTGAAGATTTGCCGCCTTCCACCTTGCCAAATAACTGTTCTGTTCTCCTCCTTTATCATTATCAGTGGGCGCTCTCCAAAAGCATGGAAGGATTCCTTTATGCATAACCAAAATCTCCCCGATCTATAATAAACACAGTTTAACCAGTTACTCCCCATATCCTAAAAGAAAGCATTTATGAAAGCTTATTTTGTCCCAAACAATTCCTAATTGAACAATAGAGGCTAACTTTCATTGTCTGTGATGTATTTCTCAAGTACCCTAAAAAGTAAAGTAGATCAATTTAAGTTAAACCAACAAATAAGTCTATATATAGCTAGTACTAGAATTGATAATTTCCAATAGTTTTTCCTTGCTAAAAATTTATAGTTGTATCTTTGCATAACATGAGTCATTTTTAGGGCGGAAGTAGTAGTAAATAGGCAAAAAGGCAAGAAAAACACTATGTTGACACCAAAGGGGGGACTGACATTAATAGGATATCTAAATTTAACACAAGGATAAAACACCAAATGTTACAAAGTTCAAATATGAGATAATTGGAAAAGGTTGAGCAATCAAATATCCTCACAAAAATATACCTTCCAGCATTCAATTGTACCCATTTTTTTGTTGAATATAATCTCCCATGAGCAACCATGGCCAAGCTTTATCATATCATCATGATTATCCACAAATACAGCAGCTTTTGAGTTTTTAATGGTCTGTAATTATGATTCCATGTTAATACTTAAATATAATTACTAATAATAACAATAATAAGGGAAACAATATAGTAGCCATATAAAGCTCTTACATCAGGAATGGATTCCGGTTTGGCTGGTAAGAATAATTGTGTTGAAGAAATAAGGTGACCGCCATTAGCCCAACGTTTCGAGTGCAATAACTTTGCAATAATTGTCAAAAAAAAATCAGAAACTGTGGATGAAGACCACAATGAATACCATGGTCCGCACTCCCATTGGATTCTATGAGTAGCTTGAGGCTCTATGGTGAGAACACCAAGGGTACCTGACCCTAGCTCGCAACCATCCCCATGAAGTAACCAATGAAACTCCAAGTCTTCGGTTGTAATAAAAAAATTGGCATTTTTTATCTGCAAAGGAAATGGGTACTTGGGTAGCAATACGAAATATGATCTAAACCAAAAAAATAAACGGTGATGCATAACTTCAAATCTTTACCTCAATATTGCCATTATTATTATCAAATAAGACCTTTATAGGCTGGTATACGAACTTAACCTCTGAAAACCATAGATTGCAACACTCTTCAGTAAGCAATTCCAATAAGAAGAAAAATAAGACAACAAAAAGTGCTACAGACAGAAGATGAAGAAGAGAATGAAAGTCACCATATAATGCAGGGTGAGGAGTTCGGTCTGGAAAGACAATGCCATTTAAGCAGAAGTTTGAATCATTGGGTATATCCCCAAAATCACCTCCATATGCCCAATGCTTACTTCCATTAGAACCTTCCTTCAACATTGCCTGGTAAGAGTAAGACGATTGAAGTGTAATGCATTACCATGACCAACAAACTCAACTAAAATTCTAAAACACCGCTACCTCCATTAAAAAAAATGTTTTGAACCAATGTACAGTAAATCAATCTCGGTAAGGCACAACTTTAATAAATCATGTATCAAACTTGAATTTTTATTTATTTGTTGTTGGAAATAAACTTATCATATCAAATTTGTATGCGACTCCTTTCGGTAAATTCTTGGAATGTTTCATTAAAAATAGCTGATTTGGAGGAAATAGGCTCTCTTTTGGCCTTTAGGGACAAAAAAACAGATTGAATGAAGAGTAAAGGACTCATTTGGGAAACCGGGAGTATTACAAAATACAAATCGACAATTATTTATCAACCAGGTCTCGGCTTGCAGTGATGGAATTCGTCAATATCAGGTGTTAGTATTTTATTTACAAGCGGGAGAGGTAGTGACTAGTGATGAATCCGATTTTTAGCCCTTAGCATTACACCTTTAGGCTCAATTTGTCTATTCATATTCTGTGGATTGGACATTTGGTTGGAGCTTCAAACTCTTCTAAGAAACTAAAACATCTAAAAGTGAGTGATAATAAATAAAGTAATTCATTACAATAGGTGAAGAAAGTGTGAAAGACCTGATCAACCCATTCCCAAATAAAACCTCCTTGAAGACCAAATGTAGTATCAATAGCTTCCCAGTATTCATGGAGATTCCCATTGCTGTTACCCATTGCATGTGAATATCTATTTCGCAGAAGGTGATGTGTTATCATTAGTTTGGATATGAAAACAGATAAGAAAAGGTCAAAACAAAGAATTTGATAGTAAAAGGAACACACTCGCATAGTATTACTGGGCGGAGCTCAGTTGGATCATTGGCTATCTGGACTATACTCGAGACACGTGCATACATTGGGCATACGATATCTGTGGATGAAGTCCTAGACCCACCACCTTCATAGTGTACAAGTCTTGATGGATCCTTTTCTCGTACCCATCCTGTTGTACAAATATATACCAACTTACAAACATACAAACACAAAAGGCATCTACTAAGTACTTATTTTGTTAAAAACTTAATCAACAAATCTCATATCATCCTTCCATTATCATAACCCCTTGTCTGGTTGGAGAATTTTGGAGGGGAGGGGGTGAAATAAGTGTTGTGTTTGTTTGGTTGGAGAGTTACGGCACGAAAAGTGGTGGAGCTATAGACTCCTTCAAACTTCTCATATATCACTCCATAGATTGGGGTACAATGGGAGTAGATTTTCTTAGTCTCTTTCACTTTTTATATCAAAACCATTGTACATTGTTTTTTAACCAACCAGGTAGTTCAATCACTAGACTTTACCATAATAGCAAAGCCTTAAGTTGCAATAACTACTTTTCACCACAAGGGTTGATTGATCCCTTTCAATCTATAGAAAAACTTTTAGAGACATTTCCCAAAATAGGAGTAAATGGACTTTGGAATTCCAAAATAGGACTAACACGGAAGTATTTACTGTCATCTTTACGTGTGACTGCCAAATAGTTGAAGTACATTTAATATGGCAGTATTTATTATAATTAATTGCGATATTTTTCAATCATGACAATATTTTTCATACATGGCAGTAACAACTCCTATTTCAGGATTCAAGGAGAAAAACATTGTAATCCTATTTTGGAATTCCAAACCTCATTTACTCCTATTTAGGGCAATTTTCCAAACTTGTATGACTTTATCTTGTGTTTTGCAATGGAAAACATTTTTGTATGGCAATTTGATTTTTCTAGTTTGTGCGTTAAACATTATAGTATTATACTATGCATAGAATGACTTATTCCGCAGGAAGTATTTTCCACAGGAAATCATTTTTCCCAGCAAGTTATTCCGTTGCAATCAAATGGAGCCTGAGTACAAAATAAAATTATATTAGAAAAACATGTACCAGCCATTGCAGCATGATTAGGGCCATAGCTTGACTCGTTCCCAAGGGACCAGAATATAACGCATGCATGATTCTTGTCCCTCTCAACCATGCCCACAACACGATCCATCATAGACGCAGTCCAAGATGATTGGAGAACCGGGTGCTTATGTCTTGGCTGATCCATATAGCCATGTGTCTCAATATTGGCTTCATCAATCATGTACACGCCAAACAGATCACACAGCTCATACCATCGTGCATGTTGAGGATAGTGGCTGTTTCTAACCGCATTTATATTGTTCTGTTTCATCAAAACCAAATCCTACCAACCAAAACACCAATTAGGAGACCCTTAAAAACTATGCATCAAAGATTAAATAAAATATAGCAATTTGATACCTTAACCATGCAGGATTCTAAGTTAGTCTTTCCAACTCTTGGATGGTGTTCATGCCGGTTTACGCCTCTTAAAATTACTGGCTGCCCATTAACAAGAAGCTGTTTTGGGGCTTTAGATATTTGTCGAATACCAACTTGACAAGATTCACAATCAACCACATGTCCTGAAGCATCTTTAATAGTGATAACAAGTGTATAAAGATTGGGCTGTCAACCAAAAAACATATAAATGATCAACAAGCATGATACGAGGAATTGAAGATCTCCCCATACTTAGGCCGTACATTAAAAAATCGGTGTTGCATACCTGCTCTGCAGACCAGAGTCTAGGTGAATGTAACATCCCCACAAGTGAATACCCTTTAAATCCCAAATAATGATCACTTTTAAAAGTAAATTTCAAATGAGTAGCATCTACAGAAAGATGATCATTGACTCCTCCATTTTCGTATATTGAAGCTTCGACGGTGAAGTCGGATAGAGTTAGATCGTCATATGAGTTATCAATTTCCACTTCAACCTGTGGCCCATTGGGACAAGAACGGAAAACAGTTCTACTTTAATTTCCAAACCTTTTATGGAAGAAAACTTAGCAATGAATGTATAAAACCAAAAAAAATCTATTTATTTTTGCAAATGACAGAGTACAGCGTTACACTTAGCATAGCTACTCTTACCTCTATATCTGCATAAGAAAAATCTTGTGCCAAATTTGATTTAAAAAAATAATCGGCAATAAATATCTGCAAATGATAGAGCACAGTGTAAACTTAGCATAGCTGAGATAATAAAAAAACTGTGTAAGAAAATGAAAGTAACAAAGTTTAATCTATTGGGCCCCAAGTCCCCTACACAAATAAGGACACTCTGTAATATAAAGGAAAGTTTTAGCATCGCAGGATTAATATTTAAGAGTCAAGGTATATACACACCTTTGGCTTTGCTAGAAGAAGAACATCACGGTGAATGCCAGACAGCCACCAGTGATCTTGATCTTCAAGGTACGTACCATCGCTCCACCGCATTACTTGAACAGCAAGATAGTTGCAGTTATCAGATCCACATGGTTGACAAAAACTGGTTATCTCAAATTCAGCGGGCAATCTACTATCCTGGCTGAAAATTTTGATGTGATACAACAAAGTTTGTTAATGAAACTGAAAATAGATACATTCAGGTAACAGGGTGTATACATATATGTACACCATAGGTACCGTTAGCATTTGTCTATAAATATAGGTAAATGATAATGATAGCTACAGCTATGCACTAATAATAAGACATAATTTTGTGGCTTTCAGGGAAAAAATTTAATATCTAAATTATCTATGGGATAACATGCATTAAATTTGGGGAATAAAGTGTCATTTGATTAAAAATGCCAATTGTTTAATGCTTTTTTTAAAAATCTGAAGAATACTCTTATTTGGATTAAATATGTAACCATTTCCCTAAAGGTTACAGTTTGCTAGACCATATATATCAGTGTGTGTATACATACTGACACACCTATAAGCATAACAAGCCTGAACTATGAGTATCTACCCTTATAACATACTCCCTCCATCCCTTACAACTTTGCCAAGTTTGATCGGCACGAGGATTAATAAAGTTATAAGTGTGTGGTTGAGGTTTGTGCAGAGGAGACATAATTAGCTGAAACCACAAATTCTTTACTTAAAAGGGAAAGTGTCAAAGTTAGTGGGAAAACCAAAAAAGGAAAGTTGACAAAGTTTTAAGCGACGGAGGTAGTACACAATAAGGTTGGCAAAAGAAAACCAATACAACAAGAAATTCAATGGTAAAGGAAATAGAAAATTAATATATGAGAGAAAGATCAATAAGATATTGACGAACCTATATCCAACACAAACCCCATTTACCCACGTATAGAAAGCTGAGTCCACACCTTCAAAGTGTAGAAATATCTTACGCCCTGTAAAAAACAAGGGTGACGGTGGGAAGATCCACAAGTATTCAAAGGAAATTACACATGCACATACATACAAATCGATCGAAGCACAAATTTATTTGAAGGGTACTAATAGCAGTAGTAGTAAAAAAAAAATAAGAACAGTTAGAAATATTCACCTTCCCATTCTTTAGGAAGGGAGAACGTAGTCCTGTAGCAACCAGTGGGATTCTCATCAGGAACTTTGGGAGGATCAAAATGAAATGGGTATGTAGTGTTGGTATAAATGGGCTTATCATATCCATGACACTGCCAATTAGAAGGAACTGCAGAAGATTAAAAAGAAAACAATTAGTGCCAAATCATTGCCAGAAGATAGTTCACACTATAAATCCATTCACTAAAACACATTAAAACAGTCATTACAGACAGAAGATAATACAAGGGCGGAGCATTATCTACCTGGAATTTTGTTCCATCCAGAGTCTTCAAAGGTTTTATCATAAAAATTTGGAGGAACGCTTAGAGGACCAGGAGCCAGGTAGAAATTCCAATAGCCAGACAAAGACCTGACAAAAGGCAAACCTTCAACCCACCGAGCAGCACAATCAAGGGCCTCAAGAACAGCATCATCATCCCAAACCGCTGAATCTGCCACAAGAGCGTCCACTTTGTTGCGCTCACTCCAGTACTTGAGGGATCCTAAATAGACCCAAACATTAACAAACTTCTAAGGCTTCCGTTCTATGAACTCTGAAATATCTTTTTCATTATGAAAAAAGTCATGCATCGAATAAAGGCGTGTACTTTATTGTCTGATTGTAATAATACTGATAAACAAATAAATGAACCTTCAACAGATTCATGGGATAGAAGTGGGACATGAGCATTTCGCTTTCTCCATCTGAAAAAGGAAGGATCTTCCCACGGCTTATAGCCACTGTTAACTGGGGGAGCAACCATTTGACTAATCACAGAAGCCATATGCCCTTCAAAAGATGAACCTCAATCAAAAGATTTACATATGACTATTATCTCTATTATACAATTGTAGTGATAATTATATGGAGTACAATGGAAGTGGATATGAAATCGAGAATGGTAGTTACTATGAGTAGTAGAAAACTAGAGTGTGTAACACGGAAATAAGAGTCAAGAAAGGCAAAGGGCGCTAAAGCTATGGCATGGAGGGAGTTTGATCGATTCGATTTTCTGCACGTTTTTACAGCAGATGGATCTTATCCAATATCCATACTTAAGTTACTTCATTTAAGGCTTATACCTTTGTTTGGTTCAATTCCAGAAGTGGGAACTGGAAAGGAAGCAAAAGAGAAAGCGGTGGATTGTTGGGTTCTTCGTACAAGTGAAAAAGACTAGTACTGAATTTGTACCAACGTTGTCACCAGAAAAGTACTAGTATATCCTTATTGTCCCAACGTTTTGGTTTAGTGCTCTTGCCAAATGTAAAAAAAGTGTTTCTAGACTTTTCATTTATAAAAGGGTAAAATTAGTGTTTGCAAATGACAATTTATACTTAAAAAATGTTTCTTAACTTTTGATTGAATATTGCTTTTTAGTTTTTCTATTACACAAAGACACATATTTTACCAAACACTACTAATTTTTACTTTTCAAGATCACTTTATTCTTACACTATCAAGTATCAACTCTTACAATTAATCTTTTTTTCCAAAATCACTTCAAAAAGTGTTTTCTTTAAAGCAAAAGTATTTGCAAACACTCCCTTAATCACTCAAAAAGCTTGTTGGTTTAACGAAAAGTGGTACATTTAGGATTTAGATGTGGGTACATCTTTTTCGGTTCAGATTTTATCGGTTCGGTTTAGTTTGGAACGGGCTGTAAGAATTATTATGAAACAAAAATCATACGTAGTATTGTTCTTTTTTTAATCAATTTAGTTCGTTCTGGTTCAGTTTGGAATTATTATTTTTAATAACATGTGAAGGTTTTATTAAATTTCTTTCGTTCGGTTCGGTTTTATTCGATTTTCTCGATTTCTGATTTAATACAGTTTGGAAGAAATATCACCAAACTCAAATCGAATTGCATATGGTTCAATTTCAAATTAGTTCAGTTTGATTTGATACAATTTGGGTCGGTTAAACCAAATCGATTCCCACCCCAATACATGTTCATTGACTTCTGAAATACTCTACATATTTGTATAACTATGATTATAGGATCTTTGTTTTATTGTCATTTTTAGTACTCAAATAAACTCAAATTTCTAAAGCAGTAAATATTCAGCCATTTCATATGCTCCCCACAAATTTATTTTTATGCGACATACGTTACAAGAACATTATTCTCACCTAGCCACTTTTTGGCAATTTTATTTAACTTTAAAAAAGTAAAAAAAAAAATCAAAACAATGAATAGTCAGAAACAACCTATCGCCGTTGGAAGCTGAACTAGTTGGAGTAAGGGAAACTCTCAGTTGGCTTAAGGAAACGTAGTGGTTAACAATTGAAGTGTAGTCGGATGCTTCCCGAGCTGTCTCGGAAATTCTTGAAGGCTCTAGTTGTTCTTCCTATGGTTTGGTTGCTAAGGATATTCGAGAGTTGGCGAAGAGTTTTTCTAGCATTTCTTTCTCTCATATTACACGTTCAGCGAACAAGGCACTCATTCATTTGCTAGAATTGCTTGTTTTTTTAGATAAATACTCCATCCGTCCCGCTATGATTGTCCCATTTTACTTTTTCGGTCCGTCCCACTAAGATTGTCTCATACCTTATTTGGTAAAGTTTGTGTGGTTCTAAATCATTCATACTTTATTCTTACTTTATCAATTCATTATCAACCACATAAATCCACTATTATTAATAACCGTGTCACCTTCTCTTGTCCAAAACTTAGAGGACGGAGGTAGTAATAAATTTTATTAAAGAGATTGCAAAATGAAAGAGATTCTCTTAATGCTAGAATTGTTTGTTCTTTGTCTGATACACATTCTTGGTTTTTTTAGGCCCCTATTTTTGTCATTTGTGTATTGAACAATGATTTACTCAATGAAAGTTAATTCTTTTTTCTGCAAAAAAAAAAATGGTTAGAAACAACCAAAACAATCATGCAACATATCCAGCTCGTCTAGTAAGATTCTTCAAATCGGATGGCTCACTATTGTGATGGTGCACAGCTTTTATAGCAAGACATGATTCATTCTACTCCATAGCAAGACATACAAGAGAGTAGGAGTGGAGCGAAGCTTCGGAGGTCAACCCTAAGATTTGAACATATAGAACACTGAAACATGTTGAATTGATATATTATGACTCTCAATGCTATGTACTATCGTATTAGTTATTTTCCAAATTATAAAAATAACATCTTATTTACTCATTATCTACTTGAAATTCATAATATACTAGTGTAAAGCCCGGGGCAATGCCGCGGTAGCGCATCAATTTGATATGAGTTAAAATGAAATATACTAATAGATATTGTGAATTATTCATAGGATCGAAAGGTTAATCACAAACAATAATAAAATTTTATTTGTGAAGTGATAATATATTAAATTATCCAACATCATATATTATATATTTACTCTTTGGTCTATATCAAGGTGTTTTGTTTCGACAGCGTTACGATTGCGGTCACTGCAGTTGCGGCTATTGCAGTTGTTGCGATGCGTATTGCGGCCGATGCGGTGGAATTTAATTTTACGTTCAAACGAAATAAGAAAATAATTAGTGTTGATGTCCTGATACAATCCAGTATGGCCCTGTTGCGCGCACGTTGCATACGGTTACGTAGTATTTCCCCCGTGAATTGAAATTTCACCACCATTGCGGCCCGATGCCATTACGCTACAGAATGAAACCATAGCATTGCAACCGCAACACATGTTACAATCACGACCTATCCCAATTGTGACCACGTTGCGGTTTCATTGGGACGATGGAAGTACATTATTGCTATTCTTGCAGTTGTGCATAATTGCAAAGTAATAAAACTGTTATGCATAAAAATTTTACTGTGAAGATTTTGACTGCGTTCATGTTATATGCATATTGTATCATGTTTTCGTATCATAATTTCTTTACTCATGGTATAAATAAGTGTATTTATGCATATAATTATAGTATTGAATTTGATATATAACTTACAATATGATTTAATTTAATGCAAAATTCAATCAATAATTAAGTATATTAAGTAGATGTTACAAATTAATTGAATATTATAATGTAAAAGTATGATTTTTTTAATATTATATTAGCATCTGCATCATTTAATGTGTTTTTTTAAAGTTTAATGAGTTAAATAATGATTGTAAGATTAAAGTAATGTTAGCATGTATTATGCGAAGTCAATAATAGAGTCACACGTAACATATCATAATTTAAGTATACTATATAGAACAATAGATAATAAGAAATTTGGTGTTTAACGCTTTTTTTAATTTAAATTAACTCAAAAATGTAAAAATTAATTATGAAATCTTAATTTCAAGATTCGACTCTACTCAAAAAAAGTTTTGGGCTTTATTGATAAAAAATTATAAGCTTAAATATCTCCAGATTTTTTTACATATGCAATATTGATATCATATGAAATATCATAAAAAGTTATGAATTCTGATATGTTTTTTTTTATAAAAATTGGAGTACAAATAAAAAAGTTATACGTAGTAACACTTAAAAAAATTATACAGAGTAGATTTTCTCTCTCCTCTTTTCTCCAAAAGAGTTGGCTTAATTAAGGTGAATAGCTAGTGATGGACCGTGTGAACTTAGGGTGAATTAATTAAATGTTTTAATAGAAGTGACAATACAATTTTTAGTAATCAATAACAGATTCACACACTATTGATTTATAAATCAGTTTTACTATATAAAACAATAGATATGTAATTATTTCTTATTATAATGGTAAATATAATCATTATAAATTATGTCTGAGCCTTTTTTTGTTTTATCTGATCGGAATGTTTATGATCTAATCTGAATGTTTCTGATCCGAATGTTTATTATTTGAATGTTTATGATCTATTCTGAATGTTTCTGAATGCTTATAATTTAATCTCAATGTTTTTTATTTTCTTATATAAAAAAATTAAATTATATTTTTATTTTTTATATGAAATATTGGTGTCATGTGAATTTTGAAATCTAATTTGTGAAAATTGGAGATCAAATACAAAATTTATGAGTTTAAAGAAATAGTTTTTTTTCTCCAAATAAGTAGCTGTTACGTAGGGATTTTAGAGAGATAGAACGGTGAATTTAAATGGGTTTAGTAGTAGTTACGTAATACTTCATCCGTTCTCTCTCAATTGTAACGGTCCACTTTTCACGTTTGCCAACGCACAAGTTTGACCATTAATATCTTGCGTTTTATATTAGTAAAAAAATTAAAAAAATTAGATTATGAAAATTTAAAGCGAGAGGAATTTAACAATATTTTTTAAATTTAATTTATAATACATTAATTAATAAACTAGAGTCAAAGTAGAATATGTGAATAATGTAAAAAGTCCAATATTGCATTTAAAAGAGAACAGAGGTAGTATAAAAGAATTTGTATTATCCAAATAATATAAACTCAGTTTTATTATATAAAACAATATATTGCATATATATCGAACCAATAATATTATAGATCTCATTTAAATTATTAACGTTTATTCAACTCAAGTATTGGGACTGTTTAGCAAACATTGATCTGCCAATTTTCAACTTCTTTGATCGCAATTTGCAAATTTGACTCTCGGAACCATCTTTTTATCGTTTGGCAAACAGATTATTCCTAAGGCGGTTTGGAACTCAAAAAGCTGAAGGGGTGTTTGGTAAACGGCTATTGGCTATTGGCTGTTGGCTGAATATGTTGGTTGATTAGTAACAGCGGATTCTGTTGGCTATTTTGTTTAGCTTATAATGTTAGCTGTTTATGAAACAGTGTTTGGTTAAACGATTGTTTACAATTGGCTGATAACTTATTAAATTACTTTTAAGGACATCAGTTAATTTGTTTAGTTTATTAACTACTTTTATATGTCTCACACATTTTGCTAATATTATTAATACAACTACTTAATCCATTTTTATTTAATAAAAATTTTATTAACACAAGTAACAATTCGTTCCAACATTGTTTTTTAAACACAAATAACATTCTTTCAAAAAAAACACAAATAACTTTCGTTTTTTTGGCAGGACAAATAATTTTCGTTTTTTTTTATCATCAAATGGGCCGCTATTCATATCAAAAGATTCAGGATCATTACATCAAGCAAAAGGAAAATAAAACTGACACCAACTGAAACTTCAACAACTACGACTGTAACCCTATGGTGAGACTTTGAGACGGTCACCCCTGAGAGAGCAACACGAATCGCTAACCATGTAGTGGGCTTGACACAGCCAAAGCTATTCCCACAGATCCAACCATACCCAATGACATAAAGAGAGGCAAAAAACTCAAACAAATTGTCAAAACCAACAACAAAAGTGGACACAAGAAAACAAACAACAAACAGATAAAAACTACAAGAAAAACGTTCACGAACTCTAGCACCTCGTACATCCCATGATGGTGGTTCAGGAGGTCTTACCACCGGTACCATGCTAATTGATACTCCGTGACCTTTGGCTGCCAAAGGCCATGCATCAATCCTCCGTCCCTGCATAACCAAACTCATCTCTGCCCCATGCAACCAGAGTAAACGGATAGGCGGCGCCGATCTTCTCCAACGACGACAACAAAGCATCATCCTCGAACCTTGACCACAACGCCGATCACCTCGAGCCATGACAGCAAATCCGCCCTTCGAGGACGAAGCACAAACAACAGCAGCCGTTCTTCGATTAAAATCGAAGACGGAAATAGCAGTCGTCCTTCGATTGAAATTGAAGACGGAAAAAGCGGCCGTCCTTCAATTAAAATCGAAGACGGAAAAAGACTCCAAGCGGCCGAAGCCCTAGAGAGAAGCGAGAGACGATCGCAGTCCAAAAATTGCTAGACACATCAGATGTTTGGATCACATGTATGGAGTATGGGGAGCGCATGTACATACGCCGAAGATGGTTGAGAGAAAAAAGCACGGAGCGGCCAGTTCGTATACCATGCAACCGTCCCACGGTGCGCATGGTATACCTGGCAGAGTGAAGAAGCAGTTCGTATATTTTGGTTTTGTTATTTTTTATTTCCCCTTTTTTTAAAAATGTTAATAATTTTTTTATTTTTGATCCGATTTTTATAAAATCTATATCAATTTTTTTTATTTTTCATGATCTTTCAAATGAGACCAATATTGCCTATGTAATTTTAACATATTAACATTTGCGTGTAAAAATATGTAACTTTACGTGTTAAAATATGTAACTCACGTTCTGTCAGGCCAAATGCAACTCGTGTGTATAAGTATGTAACTCTACGTGTAAAAATATGTAACTTTACTTAAAAAAAATATGTAACTTGCGTTCAGATAGGTCAAATGCAACTTGTGTGTATAAATATGTAACTCGCGTGTATAAATATGTAACTTTACGTGTAAAAATATGTAATTTTACGTGTAAATATATGTAACTCGCGTTCAGGCAAGTCAAATGCAACTCGTGTGTATATATATGTAACTCGCGTGTATAAATATGTAACTTTACGTGTAAAAATATGTAACTTCACATATAAAAATATGTAACTCATATGTATACATACCTAATACAATAAATTTTTATATACACAATTTTAAGATAAATTGTGGTTTACACAATTATTTTTCTGTATTAAATTTAGTTTAGTTTTCCTTATAATCCAATACACATTAATATAATAGTTTGATAATTTCTTAAAATTACATAAGCAATATTGGTCTCATTTGAAAGATCATAAAAATAAAAAATGTTGATATAAATTTTATAAAAATCGGATCAAAAATAAAAAAGTTATTACTATTTTTAAAAACAAAGGATAAAAATAAAGAAAGCAGGCCTCATCAATACTCCGTCGTTTTGCAACCGGGTGCACCATCCTCATGGTGCCCCGGTTGCACGATATAATATGCCCGGAGCGGCGGATGTTTCATAAATAATTTTCGTTTAATAAGTATGATTATCTTATTTTTTGACTACTAAATGGAATAAAAAGTTATATATATATATATATATCTATATATATATATATATATATATATATATATACACTAGGAAAATCCCGACAAATGAAATAATAAATGGAATAATAATGACTTAGGATGTTTTCTTTTGGACTGAAATTTGCTGGTCTGGTCCGGTCTGTTTAAGTCTGGTCTGGTCTGGTCTGGTCTGAACTGGTCTGGTAAACGTCTGGTCTCTGTGTATTTTATAACTACGGAAGTCTGGTCTGGTCTGGTCTGTTTAAGTCTGGTCTGGTCTGGTCTGGTCTGTTTAAGTCTGGTCTGGTCTGGGACTGAAAACAATCCAAAAGAAAACATCCTTAATGACTCGAGCCTTAAGGAGTGTTTAGGGTTGCTTAAAAAAAGCGCTTTTCAGCTTTTGGCTTAAAAAAGTTAAAAAGAGTGTTTTCAAATGACAGTTTCCGCTTAAATTAATCACTTAAAGGCTAAAAGCTGGTAGCAGGTAGAAGGGTGCTTTAAACTGCTTCTCACTTTTTCTATTACACAAAAAGTACTTATTTTACCAAACATTACTAACTTTTCCTTTTTCAGAATCACTTTTTTCTCAAACTGTTGGGGATCGATTCCGTCGCCGTATTCCGGCTCAGGCAGTCCGGAGCTCGGTTTTCCGGTTGTCTCTTGTGCACACCTAGGCTAAGGGAGCAACACACCTAACTAGCCTCGCCAACACTCACACTCACCTCTCCAAGAAGGACTCTCACCTCACAAAGAAGGATAATGGCTTCACAAACACTCTCACTCACCAAGAGGAAAATGAAGGAGGAAACTCTCTGTGTGTTTCACTCACTGAACAAAGGGGCAGGGGTGTGTGCTTATAACAGGGAAGCATTTGGCTTTATTAGAAGGGCTCACAAGGACACTCAAATAATACACTGCACACACAACTTGCCACTAGCTCGTTTGAATTCTAACGGGAGAAGAAAATACTGATTGGCCAGACAGATAAATGGGTACAGTGTAGTGGGCTGCTAGAAAGTGTGTTAACCATTATTAATATACAAAAAACGTTTGGGCCAACAATATATTAACAATCTCCACCTTTGGCCCAAGGTAGTGCACTTAGACAATCACGGAACCGCGGACTCATCATTGCCGGATCATTACAAGTATAATCACAAAGACAATACAAGTAATAGAGAGACACAAGTACTCTCGGGGTAAAATCACCAAGCTTACCGAGTCCATAAAGGACTTAACTCTACCATAAGGTCCTCGAGTTCAAAACCGAAACCATCACAATGTTATTAACAAACACAAGGTATGTTAATAGCCCACGCAAGCAAGCATCCGGGAGAAGTTGGGGATCCCAACTAATCCAACAACCACACAAAGCAAGTACACAGAAAATAAAAGAAAGAATATTATTTCTATAACTAGCACAGGTAGAGCTCACATAATCACTTGGTATCTCATTTTCAAAACACAAAGAAAATAGCATACCAAATATCACAAAGATTTTAATTAAAAGAGAATTAAGCACATTTAAAGCAAACTCAGAGGAAATATAGTCAAACACATTGCACATATTATTTCTCACATGCTTCCTAATGTCTCTATCTCTAATAACAGGGCAATTACGCAACTCAAGCATATTGCACACAACATTCATATCATGCTCCACCTTAATAGAAATATTATTTTCTTTATTTTCACCATGAAAAACATTTTCATCCACAAATTTGGGTTTAGTTTCAACAAGTAAATCGGAATGAACTTCAACAGGCAAATGCTCCACCTCATTTGGAGCAACATCAGGAGAAACAAGCAGGCAAGGAAATTCATTTTCAACAAAAATGACATTTCTACTCATCAACACATTGAAGCAAGTTTCACTCCTACACCAAAGCCTATAACCTTTCATGCAATCATGATATCCTAAGAAAACATATTCCTTAGTCCTAGGTTCAAATTTATCATTCACACGATTCACATAAGCAGCACAACCAAACACTCTCAAATTTGGCAAGTCAAGTGGTTTGCCCGTGAACACAGATTCAGGGCATTTCCCTCCTAAGGGAACAGACGGGGACAGATTAATCAAATCAACAGCATAACAAATAGCTTCCCCCCAGAATTTATTAGAGAGCCCAGATGAAGCTAACATAGTCCTCACCCTCTCTAATAAAGTTCTAACCATCCTCTCAGCAACCCCATCCGGTTGGGGTGTGGAGGGAACAGATTTATGCATAGAAATACCCCAAGTATCACATAAATCTCTAAGCTGATCATCACAGAAATCAAAACTGACAGTGGTCCTTAAAAAATTAATTTTCTTACCGGTTTGTTTTTCAACAAGGATTTTCCAGTTTTTAAACTTATCAAAAACTTCAGATTTATTTTCAATCAACAAAACCCACACTTTCTTTGAAAAATCATCAATAAACGTCAGAAAATAATTTTTCCCACCATGAGTGGAAACACTATAAGGACCCCACAAGTCAGCATGAATACAATCAAGCACATTAGTACACTTAGGCAGATCAGGAAAACCAACTCTAGACTGTTTTCCTAGCACACAGGGTTGCACACAATTCACAGAATCAAATACGGGTTCAGCATGACAAACATACAAGTTGTTTTTCATCTCAGCTTTGAAAACAACTAAACAACCCTTCACAACTTTCATGATTCCCTTTCCCCATTTTCCCTTCAAACCATCATTTTCAAGAGATGCACAAGATAGCAAATTACAACACAGCTCAGGAACATGCCTAACATTCTTCAAAGTAAGCACATAACCAGAAGAAAACCTAAGGCATACATCTCCTATTCCTAGCACATTGCATTTCTTCTCATTTGCTAAAGACACAAAGCCATGCTCAATCTCTCTATAGTTTGAAAAAACATATTTCAAAGGGGACATGTGAAAACTACAACCAGAATCTACCACCCAATCTGATTTACCCAAAGAATCAGATATCAAAGAACTCAAATAGTCATAATCACATAGATTTTTCATCATAAAAACATCACCTAAATCATCTACACACGTAGTCAAATTAGCATGCTCACTATGCTCATTTTTCCTAGATTTAGGACAGTCTTTTATGAAATGACCAGGTTCGTGACAATAATAGCAACGCCTCGAATTAGACCTAGACTTAGATCTATGTCGTCTACTATTATTTTCTCTACCCCTCACATGCATAACCTCCTCAGATTTTCTACCCTCACCCATCTGTTTTAAATCTAATTCCTTACTCTTAAGACCATTTACCACAATGTCAAGAGTCACATTATCTCTACCATACTTAATAGCAGATTTCACATCACCAAAGGAATCAGGAATAGCATTTAAAAGAGCAATAGGGGAATAATCATCTATATGCTTATCACCACACAACTTAATATCCGAAATAAGTTTGGTAAAAACACCTAAATTTTCTTCAATATCTATAGACATATCTAGTCTAAATTTGAAGAACTTTTCAAGTAAAAATATCCGGTTAGGCAAAGAGGTCTCAGTATACAGTTCATTCAATTTATTCCAAAGAACTTTAGCACTTTCTAAAATTCCAACTTTTCTAATCACAGAGTCAGATAAGTTCAAATAAATCACAGAACATGCATTTTCATTCATTTCAGCCCTTTTCTCTTCCGTGTCAGAAATTAAATAGGTTTCACCAACTGCTTTAAAACATTTTTGTTGTATTAAAATACATTTAATTTTTTGCTTCCAAATGCTAAAATCAGATTTTCCATTAAATGGAGCCATACCATACTGATTATAAGCAGACATTTTCACAAAGAAAAACAAGCAACAAAATAAAATGTAAATTTTGCTGAAAAACAATTTAAATATTTATAGGCTACAACTATACGGAGCAACTAGCACGAACACGCGGGGAGTATTAATGAGCACCAAACTCAACTTCAAACCCCTTGTTCTTCCGTATAAGCACAAATAAATAATAAATTTTCAGCACAACACAATACAACAATTCAAACAATTTTAACAGCAATAATAAACCTAAAACAGATTTCTACACAATAAAAGACTAAATCACTACAAAAGCGATAAAAGGGATAAAAGTCAATATACCGGAGCGAAACCCTAGGAGAGGCGTTTCGACCTTACCCACCCAATTTAAAAATTGGGATTTTTTGGATTGTTGACTGCCTTTGACTGGCGTTGACTGACGGTTGACTGGTTCCAGCTCCAGCCCAAGTCCAGTAACAGCTCCACAGTCCCACAGTCTGGTCCAGCAGCTCCAAGCAGCTCCAGGTTCAAGCAGTCCAGCAGTGTAGCAGCCCAATAAGAATCCAGCTGTCCAAAAGCTCCAGCCCAAAGCCAAGCCCAGCAAACCAGCAGCCAAGTAGCCCCGCGGAAGTGTTCTGATTTCTGCAGCGGTCCCAGTCTCCCAGACTCCCTGCTTCGTCCCTGTCCTTCGCTTCTGCGCCACAGGTTCGCGTCCAAAAAAAATCCAAGCTCAGCAGCAGGTTCGTTCCCTGTCTTCTGCCACGGTTCAGCCCGTCTTCAATCCTTCACCCCCCCAGGCGAACAGCTTCACCTGTCTGCAACCTCCAGCGAACGGAAATCGACGGCGATTTCCGGTGGGTCAGGTCTGGGCGTTTCGCGAGCAGACCACCAGGGACATCGCGACTCCAATTAGCGACGACGAGGAGGACTAACCTCCGGTGAGGAATCTCAACCAGTCGATGGATCCACCGGCAAACGAACCAAGAGCTCTGTAATTGACGAACGATGAACAAGATGGCGAGGACGAGTCGCGAGAAGACCTCCAGTGTCTTCAATCAGCGACCAGCACCTCGGACGACGGCGTACGGCGGCGGATGACGGCAGAGTACGGCGGCGGACGGCGGTGAAGACGTTCCAGACGACGGAACCCGGCGAAATCGACGGCGACAGCAACCCTAGGCTCTGATACCACTGTTGGGTGTCGATTTCTTTCCGGCTCAGGTCTCCAACCCTTTTGTTATACTCTCACACACCACTCTAGGCTAGACCACAACACAACTCCAAGCTTCTTCTCTACCACTAAGGTATTCTCTCTCACACTCTCACACAAAGGAAATGGAGAAGAAGAAGAAGGGCACTGCTCTCTCTAAGATTCACGCAGGCTACTTCAACAAGGGAGAAGCAAAGCTACTAAATAATAGGCTGGTAGACACAAGGACACTCACATGTGATGCAAAGACAAGGAGGGCAGCACAGGACAGCTCAAAGGGGTCACTCCACATAAGTCAAAATGGCCATATTATTGGTTAGGAAAGATTCAAACGAGAAGTGCCAAAGTGGGAGTAAACATGGGGTGCAAGTCAATAATAAAGTGGAAGGGAGGCCTTGGTAGGACCAATACAAACACTACCAACTTTTACTATTAATCACTTTTCTCAAACACTCCCTTAATAAGTATGATTATCTTTTTGACAAAGTTACACAGATTGTGAAGTATGGAATAGGGAAAAGGACACTGATATTAGCATTAAGAGGTCCGGCTCCACAAAAGTGAGTTCAATTCAAAAAAGACAAAAACGTGACCGAATGGATGAAACAATTGGAAACACTCACACGTAAACACCAACAACCTTCCGAATCAACTTACCCTTATACGTGGCATATACTTCGTACTACGTTAAGAATGCTTAATTCAATTTAAGAATGCACTGTATTGCTCTCTTTTTAATTTAATAATATTTCTAATTTTCAATGCAATCTGTAACTATTTACAATACAAAAGTCTATAAAATTAATGTTTTTTTATTTTAATTTTATTTCTGAAAAAGAAATTCGGAAATGAAATTTGTGTGACAATTATCGGGGTGATCACCATCCCAGTTACAACTAGCGCTCCAGGTCATTATCCTAATTACAATCGCAATAGTGAGTAGTGACACTGTCTCAATTACTTCCGCTCCAGTGACATCATCTCAATTATTACCGCTCCAGTGACTATCGTTCCATTTACCACCGCCGTAGATGACAACGTCTCAGTTACTACCACTCCATTGACCACCGTCTCAAATCTCAATTATTTACTTTTCTCGTTACCGTCATCAGTGCGCGTATCCAGAAAATTTGGCGAGTGGGGGCAAACTTGACTACAATTTAGTCTCATATTTCACAAATAACAAATCACATTATTAATATTGTTTGATTTAATTTAGTTTATCATATCTATGTACAAGTATGAATAAAAAGAAGATTAATTTATATTACGGGTGTGTAAAGATGTAATTGAAGATAAAATGTAATAAATTTATCTAAATATAAGTTAAATAGTCTTAAACATAAGAAAATTTAGTGATATTTTAGCCTTTCATTCTTTGTATATTAAAGAAAACACTTCTAATCCTATTTTATAATTTTTTTGTACATTTAACTCTTAATTTGAGCAATTTTTTTGTAAAAATTTGGACATATATATAAGGGTTGGGGTTGAGTGGGGGCAGCCGCCCCCGCTGCCCCCATAGTGGATACGCCACTGACCGTCATCATAAATACTACAATCCAGTGACATCGTCTCAGTTACCATCACTCCAGTGACCACCGTCTCAGTTACTAGCTGGCGTTTGCAAACAGAGCAATTGAGTGTGAAGGTCCGCTACTCGATCTAGTTTTTAAATGCTAGACTTTTAGTTACTCTGTATTTATTTATTTGCTTACATGCTAGGCTTCTAGTTGCTCCGTATTTATAATTTGTTCATGGGCTTCTTTATACTTTATAAATTGACTTTAATTAATTATTATTAAAAATGGCTAAATTGAATACTAGTATATATTTTTAGTCAGTAGAGTAAATGTGTATTTAATTGATGTTAAGTGAATAGTAATTGTCAGATGATATATTTTATTGAGGCTTTGTATTTTTATGATATGATTTTATAATTATAGGTTACCTATACCAATATATCAATTTTTGACAACAAAAGTGAGTTTAAACAACAACACAAAACAATAAGGGGTTTTGACACAGATATTACTAAAAATAGGTAATGGACAAAAAAAAGACCTCCTTTCTTAATTTCCAAATATGTGACTAATGAAGATTTTTTTTACTAATCTGCCCTTAGTAAGTCTGGAGCATCGTACCGATGCAGCGCACGAACTTGCTAATTGCACACCGTTCTCATGCTTTTTTTTTTTAAATAATTTAATAACATTTTCTTAGGCTCTTGATGGAGTATATGGCCCAGGAACCCCCGGCCCATAGACTCCTATTTCTCCTACACAAGTCCATTGAGCTCAGGAAACAACTCAGGCCCAAATACAACGGCCCAAGCCTCAAAGTAGCCCAGAATACACACTGGGGTGCCTTCGGCCTCCTTGGCCGAAGGCTCCAAAACTCACAGGATAGCCTTCTCTGGCATAAGAAGCTGCTGGGAGAAAACGGGCGAAGACATGAGCCTTCGGCATTCTCATGCCCTCGGCACCAGGGGGAAGCCTTCGGCTGAACCAAGCCTTCGGCTACACAACGAGCCCTCGGCTGCACAAGAAGCCTTCGGCTACACAACGAGCCCTCGGCTGCACAAGGAGCCCTCGGCTACACAAGGAGCCTTCGGCTGGGAGCCCTCGGCTACACAAGGAGCCTTCGGCATAAACAGGCTCAATCATCGAAGATTCCTTTTAGGGACAGCCAACCACCGCATTTAATGCCACGTCACATCCGCCAACCGCATTCAATGCGGTTGACGTACCACTGCCGGTGCCACTAGGCTGATGTGACCCTTCGGCCGTTGGATTACTGACACGTGTCCCCTCATCGCATTTATTGCTGCTATAAATAGCAGCCCATTTCTCCTTGTAAATGACAATCTACATCTCAACTCCACATCTCGAGTTCATTTAATAAAATCGACTCTCTCTCCTCCTATTCGCTCTGACTTCTCTCTAAGTTATTCCCGTAATAACCCCTCGGATAAGATACCCCCCGGGTAGACTATCCATCATTTGGTGCTCTCGTTGAGAGGTTTGAACTATCAAGTAAGAAACCCTCCCCCTCTACCAAACACAAAACACTCACCAAAAATGGGAAGAACCACCCGTGCCCAATCCAAGACCCTTGAGGAAAACTACGTAGCCCCCGGCGAAACTAACGGGGCTGAGGCCTCCAACAGGCTCTTAGTACCCGAGGGTGGTGTCATCCTCGAATTAGAGCAAACCACCGCTGACCTACGTCAACAGCTGCAGAAGAACACCCCTGATGCCCGCATTGGCCTTGATAATCGAAGGAGGGATCGGAGTGAGAACCAAGTTCCCCCTCCGGCCCCGGCCATCGATCTTCAGGCTGCCTTTGCGGCCTTTGTTCAGAACATGGCTCTCAATTCCGGAGCCCTCGCCTCTCAGGCACCCCTCCAGCCCCACGCTGGAGGGAATGTTATTCAATTGCCACCGCTCCCCCCTCTGTTCAACAATCCTCCCCCGGGGATTGGGAACGCCGAAGGGGTCATGGCGCAGGACACCGCCTCCCAAGAGGCCCAATCCAGGGATAAACGTCCCTTGATGAAGGAGAAACCCCGGACCTCTGCACTTGAGAGGCTTGGGGGAGCTCCCATACGCCGAGGGGTCCAAGACCGCCTCGGCAAACAGGAATTCAGCAATCCTCAGGAGAGCGGAGCCTCCGCTTCGGGAGCCGAGGGCATACCCCCGCCCCGGAGCAGGGGCAAAGCCATCCTCCATGCCGATGACGCCAGACACCAGATCAATCAGGCGCAATCCTTCCGGGCCAACTCCCAAGGGGTTGCTCCGAAGGATCCCAAGGACGAAATCATTGAAGCCCTCCTCCGTCAACTCGAGGAGAATCGTCAGGCACCCCCGACGGCTTCCACAGCGAGGCCAGATCCAGAGTACGCTGACCTCCGGGCGCAAGTGGAGGAAATGAAGCGTAAGCTCGCCGAAGGTTCAGGCGAGCCCCTCATTCAACTCCGCACTAGAACCCCCTTCACCCCAAGGGTGTTGGCGGCCAAAATCCCCCATAAATACCGGGGGCAACCCATCAAGCCGTATGAGGGGAAGACGGATCCCCAAGAGCATTATAGCCGCTATCAAAATAGCATGATGATGATGGGGGCATCGGATGAATACTTATGCCGTTGGTTCCTTTCCACCTTGGAGGGGCCCGCGTATGAGTGGTTCAACCGGTTGCCCGAAGGCAGCATTGATTCTTGGCAAGAACTTGTCCACCGCTTCCTTACACAATTTGCAGGAAGGCACCGCTCAAAGAAACACTTCTCCCACCTCCTAAACGTGAGACAACAGAAGGAGGAAACCCTTCGGAACTTCCTAGAACGCTGGAGGCAGGCCTCCCTCGAAGTCGAAGGCGCTGATGACAGGACACTAATGGCCCTCTTCCACACCGTCCTCCGCAACGGTAACTTCTCCCGGAGCCTTATCACTGATCCCCCCCGCGATTATACAAAGGCCCTTCAGCGGGGGGACCGATATGCTGAAGCAGAGGAGATCGAGAAGGACCGCCGCAACACGGATCCTTCTCAGAAGAATGAGGGCAGGAATCGGCCCGGAGGACCTCCCCCTCCGGCCAACCGCGAGGCTCAATACAATGATCGCCCCCGGGGTGGCCAAGCCAGAACCGGGGGTGGTTACAAAAACAATCCGAAGGCATGGGCGCAACCCGTCCTCCTTGAGCACCCACGCACTCCCTTGACGCATCCCGTCAGCGTCATTCTTGATCATGCAGAAGAACGGGGGCTCGTTGAGCGAGACTCCCGTACACCCCTCGAGATCTATGCTATCGGCCCTGATGAGCCACATTGCCGCTTTCACCGCCACCATGGACACAAAACCGACGACTGTCATCAGCTGAAGAACGCCATCGAGAGGCTGATACAGGCGGGCCACTTGTCTCAATTTATCAGGGGTCCTCCTCCCCAGGGCCCCCTTCATCATCAAGGGCCTCCGCCGAAGGCAAATAAATGGGTGAACCCCAACACCATCCCCTTGGGGAACCCACAGGGAAAGAAGTGAGAAATTGGTGGCCTCGATGACGAGGGAGAGGGCTCCCATCAGCAATACAAGCGCCACATTCACATGATCAACGGCGGCAACACTGGTGGAGACTCCACCAGCCAGCGAAAAAAGTGGGCTCAGTCCCTTTACGTTGGGGAAGTCAATCACGTGCCCCCAACTAAAAGGCCGAGGGCGGATCCAATCTTCTTCACAGATGCGGACCTCCCCTCGGGTTCTCTGCCACATAGGGATGCCCTCGTCATCCGCACTGAGATCAATGATGCCATCATCCACCGGACTTACGTCGACACGGGGAGTTCGGTCAACGTCATGTATCTCAGCACTTTTCAGGAGTTGGGGCTCGACAGGGGGTCTCTTCGGCGCATCAACACTCCCCTCTCCGGATTCACGGGGGATAGCATAGCCGGCGTCATCACACTCATGGTCGAGTTCGGCGACGGATCCCATAGAGCCAAGCTCGAAGTGGAATTCGTCGTCGTCAACCTCGACTGCGCACACAACATCATCCTCGGCCGGCCTGCCCTCGAGGACTTAGAAGCCGTCATCTCCTTGAAATACCTTTGCCTCAAATTCCCTACACCCACCGGCATCGGCTACTCGAGGGGGAATCAAAAGCTCTCCAGGGCATGCTACCTTCAACTTACCAAGAAGGTTAGTAAGACTGAGTTTCGTGTTGACACCATCACCACCAAGGCCTTGGAGGAAGAAGAAGGCAGGCCGAGGGCTGAGCCTGCCGAGGAGACCGA